GAATATATTGCAGGAGACGAGTTTTGGGTTGAAGAGGTTCCTGATCCAATCAAGGCTTTTGTACTAAATGACATGGCTTAGTCTGTATTGATTACACCTTCCTCATTTTTGAGACATGAAATAATACTCAATAGTATTGACCATCAAAAAAAAAAATCTCATTTCCATGTGTTACGTAGTCCTGGTAAGAGCCAATGAAAACATAATCAGCAAAATCTCTAGGGTCAAACCTTTGTCTCCTGCCAAGGGTTTTTTCCTTTTGTTCACCATAAACGGATAAATGAACCATCTTTTTGATATTCTGACAATTGTGTATTTGTTCAAAACTATAATGGTTGATCTTTAGTTCTTGTAAGATGTTGCGAACTGTCTCCATGATAGCAAGACGAGATCCAATTCTCCAGTATGATGCTTGTTGGATTGGATAGGTCTCATTGAAGCAGTTCTCATTACCGCATGGCTTCCATCCTTCCCTTTGATGCATGCTGCAGTCGTAGTTAATGTCATTCCAAAAAAGGCACAGAACCAATCCTGCATAAGGAAAAAAAAAAGACATTTACCATTGATAACATATATCAATAGAGACATTCATAACCATAAATAACATCATGTATACAATTGCATGTATTCAGTCAATAAATATGATCAACCAAAATGAAAGGCTAAAATAACCATAACGAAAAGTAAAAATGCAAAAAGCTTGCATACCTAAGAATGATGAAAGGGCAATATACATCAACTTTTGTCAATAAATCAACATATCATTTTCAATATCATTATGAACAACTGGGGCAAGTGATGGCCAATCTGCAAACCAAAAAATCATAAGGCAAGTTTAGTTTGTCATGGCATGAATGAAAAGCTAAAAGACCATCAAAGGAACTAGAAACAGGCCACAAAGTGGATATTAGGAGTAATCAACAAACAATAACATCAAATGCAAGTTACCTCTTGCTAAAGCCTCTTCTCTCCTCTTCACTTACTCTGCTGTATATCCCAAAAGAAACAAATGAGTGAAACTTGTAAAAGTTTGCATGTTTCACAAGTTCAATCTCTTTGATATACCTGCTGTTGTTGGTTAAGTTTAACTGCCATGGCCAATCTCCCTCTCTTTCCTCTTCAATTCCCAATATAATTTGAACAGTGTAGATCAGAAAGCCATAATCACTGCTCACTTTCACAAAACAAGTGGGAAGTGGCATGCAGGGAGATGGAATTAAGTAAATACACTAACCTTAAAACTGGGTCTAGTAACTGTAGCAAAAGGGATATCATGATTTGCATCATAACCATAGTTGAGAGCAACTGGTTCTGGACGAAGAGGTGAAAGCCTTGAAGGGTTCTACAAATTCACAATCATTGATTAGTAATCAAAATCATATAAATTTGAAAAGAATAGAGGATTAACATATAAAGGATTAACTTCTGCTACTTCATCAAAAGGGTTTATAACAGCTTGATAACTCCCTATAATATCATCATCTTCATAATTTGGGGATTTGGGATGTTTCTTAATAGAAAACAGCGAGTGAAACATACCACATATGTGTGCTATGGACATAGAGGACTAATGTTGGATTCTAACCAGTTTGCCAAACTTTCTAATTTTATAAGTAGTTGTCACATTATATTCTTGAACAATCCCCAGAGTTCCATAATTGGAAAAAAAAAAAAAAGAAGTCAAAACCCAAGAAGAAAGTTAGAACGTAGACTAACTTGTTGGATTCCAAAATAAAAAACTTGCTCTAGGAGCCAAAAAAAACAAAGAATTTGGATGGAATAGACGACCTTAGATAAAAAACCAGAAACTTACATAACATTTATCCAAAGCTTGTTCTATATGCTTGTACATCCACCAGACATAGCTCCAAGCACCAACACATCAACTCCATCCTAACTCCTGCTATGCTTGGCTATGGTAGCAAGGTTCACAAAAACCAAAAGAAATTGGATGGAATGGAAAACATTAAATAAAAAATTGAAAACTTACATAGCATTGATCTCAGGCTTGTTACACTTGTGGATCCATTAGACATAGCTCTCAACCACCAACACATCAACTCTTTCCTAGCTCCTGCCATGTTCAGTTATAGCAGCAAGGTTCACCAGTCATCTCAAGACAGTATGATGTTGCATGGTATGAATCAAACTCCACTATGAAGGGAACCCAATAGTACTCAATTGATACATTGTACTTCTGAAACACATTAGGATTTGGATTTTGGGAGAGGGTTCAGAAGTTTAGATTGGGGCTAATCCACCATATGAGTTAAAATAAATAACTAATAACTGAACAGATGAAAATTGTTAATGATGAGATTGAGACCATATGTCATTTCTAAGGAAAATCTAACCTGTGAGTTTAAGTCCCCTAAGAAGCCTTATGGTAACTTGGAAGATTGTTGATCAACCAGGAAGACATAAGTGTAGACTATTCCAACCCACTGCCATGTTTTCCAAACAAGCTTTGCAAGTAACCTAAACAAACAGTAAATCATGACTATGTCTCTCCATGCTTGTGACTTCGGAATATGAAGTTCAACTACATTTTTTGAGTGGAAAGGGATTCACCTCTTCACAACATTTCAAAACATGAAAAAGTGACTTAGCCACTTGTAGGAAGCTAGAAAACGATGCTAATTTTTATTAGGAACTTTCTCTTGTACAAAACTTTAAGCTTAATAACCTAAAGTAAACAAGAACCATCATTAACCAAGATATGTGCTGTTACCAAAATAATAAAAATCAAAATATTTGACACCAACATATAATTTTTCCGACCCACTGCCATGTTTTTCAAACAAACTCTTCATGTAACCTAAACCGTTAGCAATCATGAGTATGTGTCTCCATGCCTGTGACTTGTGAATGTGAACTTTAACTGCATTCTTGGAAAGGAAAAATTCACCTATTTGCACAATTCATGATCATGACACCAAAAAGTTTTGTAGGAAACCTGAAAATGATACCAATTTTTATAGGAAACTCTTGTACAAAACTTTTAGATTAAGAACACAAAAAGGATACCTAGAAACCTAAAAACTTCTTCTTCTTGAGGCCTTATTGGAGCTAATTTACCCAGCAATTAAAGGGGGCTCATTTTCAGCCAGGCTTACCGCATAACCAAATTATAAAAAGAACAAAATTTAAAACAAAAAAAAAATTCAATAAAACCCTCATGAATACATAGAAATTAAGAAGCCAAAGGAAATGAAGAGAGTGAAATGGAATAGTCAAGTCAAAATACCTAGTGTTCGGATGTCTGACACTTTCTTTGAGGTCTGATTCTTCAGCTTCGCACGTAATTTTCCAGCCAATCTTTCTGTCATTGAGCAAGGGCTTTTACTGGAATACGTTGTCAGTGGCTTGTGATTTAGTTGGAAAGTTGATGATTTGTCTGGAGCTACAGAAATTATTTCTTTCAACAACTAAAATATCACAAGATCGCAAATGATAGAAAAATTATCAAAAAAAAAAAAAAACTGTCTAGATAAGGTTAAATAAAAATATATAAAAAAAATCAAATAAAAAAAATATTAATGTTCCTCTAACCACATCTATTAAACAATCTTATCACCCATAATTTTTAATCTTGTTAGATAAGAAAAGTGGAATATGAATTTAAAAAAAAAAAAAACTAAATAAAATTACAATCAAATCAAAATATAGATAGTGAAATCTAAACACTTACTGGTTGGAGTTTTTGTGGGAGCAGAGGCTGCATATCTTTGTCTTCCAGAATATACCCATTTAGGGTTTCCATCTAAGAAACATTGACCTCTTTCTCTTCTAGAATGCCCCAATTGTTTTTGTTGGGGAAGGGAATGGACGAACTGCGAAATTGCTTTTATTGGCACGTGTTATTGAGGTGGCACGTGACTTTCATTTCTAGAAAGTTACGATTTGTCTACTCAACAACTCCCTTTGCATTTGCAGTCTGCAGCTCTTCATTTCACACTGCCCAAATTATTTCCCAAATTTTCAATAACTCACTATAATATATTTAAATAGTAGTCAATTAATCAACACCTTACCCTCAATCCGACCATTTGTTAGAATATTTCAAGAAAGATTGAAGGAGGTTCTTAGCGTCAGGATGATCCCACTCCACTGATTCCCACCATTCTTTTGACTCTTTATCCATGCTGATTCCTCTGAGACGAGGAGGAGGAGATGGTTGGCCATTATCAAGCAAAGGAAGCTGCACAGGGATCCTCTTTAACTCCCGACATGTTGATATTCTAATATATTCAACAGAATCACAAACCATAACTCCTTTGGCACTACAGATGCTCTTCAATTGGGGTAAATCCCACAAGTGCAATATCCTTAACTTGGGAAAAGTGAATTTATCCGATGATGCATCTGAATCTGATGATGCTATTATCTCCTCCATTTGTTTGCATGTACCAACATCAATCTCCTCTAAGTTTTGGAAGCCCAGTAGCAGCTCAAGTGGAAGCAACTTCCTCATTCCTAGACAACATACTATGATAAGTTTTTTAAGATTGGAAAAGATGTGTGATGTTATTGCTGCTCCTTCCACTCTCACAAGTTCACATAACTTAGGCAAGATATAAAGGTGCAGCACTTCAAGCTTATCAAGTACTGGACAACACAATGAGGAGGAGTAGGATGAGTCCAACTCAACCACGCACTCTATCTCTTCACTATCGAAAATACTACACAGTTTCAACTCATTTGCTTCTTTTAGCAAAGCTGTTTTGTTTAAGCTGCTTCTCATGTTTTTACCCCTAATTATCCATAAATCCTCAAGGTTATTTGGAAGCACTACACATTCTCCACCGATCTCGCATTCATTAATTACAAGCTCATATTTGCTCCCTCTCATCATGTCTCTTGCTATCCCAACTCCAAGACTGTAAGCAATAGCACTTTGGAAATCTTTGAACTTGTTGACAAAATGATTAAAGTCTTGTATGCCATCAAATTGACATTCTAAAGTCTCCAACTTCTTCAATCTAGCAACCTCTTCTAAATTTCTTATTATTGTAGTTTCTTGCAAACAACATACTGCCAAGTACTGGAGATTAGAAAGGTTAGGTAATATTCCTGTTGGAATCTCTTTCAAATTTTGACAAAATAACAAATCAAGATATTCAAGACTTATCAACATCCCCATGCCTTGAGGGACCACCTCAATCCCTGCCTCGTGTAGGTCCAACTTCTTCAATCCCCTGAGGTTTGCCAAGGAAGGCAAATACTTTAACTTCATGCAATGTTGTAACCGTAGGGCAGATAGATTCTCCAATTTAGAGATGGAATTAGGTAGAGTCTCAATAGCAGTATTAGAGAGATCAAGAACCTTCAAAGCAAGCATCTCTCCAAAAAAGGATTCTGGAATCTCTGACAAATTAGGATTACTTGATAATATCAAAGTCGAAAGGCTCAAACACTTTGAGGGCAGACTAAGAGGAACTTTTAAAATGTTATTTTCCATTAGAGACAACTTCTTAGTATCTTTTACCCAACCATGCTCATCTGGTAGCTCTACCAAATTCATACCAGTTTTTATCATATATCCAAATTCATGAGCAATGCCTATGATGGCCATGTCTCTCACTACATCATGCATCTTAGCATCATCTCTACCAAACTTAAAATTCATAAAGGAACCTAAGGTAAAAGATTTCTCTAATAAGAAATTCTTTTCAAGCCTATCTATAATAGCATGGCCCCTATTACAAGCTGCTTCTCTACTTGGCAACCCATAAATCAGTCCTTCATCAATCCAACATTCTATCAACTCCTTTTTAGAAAACACATAATCCTCCTGAAAAAGGGAGCAATAAAGAAAACAACTCTTGACTTGCAAACTATCCAACCGATCAAAACTAAATCTTAACCGCTTAAATATCTCATCATTTGAATCTTTCACACTACTTACACGAACTTGTAATTCAGTCAATGCATTTCTCCACACATTAACATCATCAACTCCCCTCATGCTCCCAGCTATCACAACAATGGCCAGTGGTAAGCCGGCACACTCTTCCACAATAAGCTTTAAGATTTCTTCCAACCCTGGAACTTGTAAAACACCATCCCCAACTGTATCGAGGAATAACTTTAGAGACTCCTCCTGTGAAAGAGGTTTCACTTTAACAATCTTACAACACAAATAACTGCATACTTCAATTGACCTACTAGTGACAACTACTTTGCACCCATTCTGCACATTCGGATCCGGAATTCCAACTTCCTTAAGAGAGAACTTCTGCCATACATCATCTAATATCACCACATACCTCACTCTTGTCAGTATTTCCATTAGTGCTGCTGCTCGCATCATCACCTCTTCATCGTCTCGAAGTCTTTGGCCCACAGCCTTAGCAATCTTCTTTTGTAATTCAAAAACATTGAGAGGATGTGATACAGTAACCCAGATCACTTTCTCAAATCTAGTCTCCCTTAGTAAATCATTGTGGAGATTCTTCATGATTGTAGTCTTTCCAACTCCACCAATCCCACAAACTCCGATCATTCCAACCTCATCACCCATCAAGTACCTCCAAATTTCTTCTTTAATAGAAATTTCCCCCACTAAATTCTCTGTTGGAATTATGTTTCCATGAGCTGGAGCCCTCTCAATAACAAGTCCTTCAGGAAAACTACATTTATCAAGCAGTTCCTTCACCATATTAATTTTTCTACAAACAAGTCTATCAAGACAAGCACGCTTGTACCACTTGACTCCCTGCACCTTTTCCAAAAATGCTTGCTGTTTAACCTCGATCTCTTCTGCTTGCTTAAGCCATTCTTGCACTTGTTGTCTAACCATTTGTCCTCCGCGAGCCTCTGCTTCTTGTATTCTTGATTCTATCTCTTGTTTCTGGCTAGTTAGACTGTTCAATTTTCTTCTTAGCTCATCCACATCATCATTAAAATTTCTATGTTGATCTATACAGTTGCA